ATACAGTGACGTCAACCTTGGTTTTAATAAGCAGTTATTTTATGACACAGAACGCGTTGGTGAAACTCATGCATCTAGCAAGAACTTAATACACAAAATAGTCATATTGATTCAAGCATTTAACATTTATGAATGAATTAAATGTCAGTAGCCTAATGAACAATACTGTACAAATTATAGCGATCACGAGGTCCTATATATTCTATCCCAAACGCGTACAGTAAAGTGGACATACAGTAGGCCTATAACCTACAACACCCCATCAGTTATATTCAGGTCAATAGTGCCACCTGTTGGCGCAGTTTTGTAACTTAGAGAACAACTTTCGTTATGTCGAGATGCCTGTGAAGATTTCAGAGCTATTGTTCAAGAATTTGAATCACTTTTGAGTTTGGATGGGTTGAGGGCACTCAAACACCTTCTGAATTCAACTGGTCCTAATATCCCTGTTAAAGAACTATATTTGCTTTGTCAGTTTTTTTTTTTTAAACATTGCTGCATGTACAGGGTATGTGGCTGTTGGTCCTGTTAGCAGCATATATATATACATATTAAGAAAAATAAAGCAAATAAAAATGACAAAAACAACAAAATTACTAAAACTTAAACTAAAATTAAAGTGAAATTTTTTTTAAAATTCAATTTGAAATATTAACTTAAGCTATAATAGTATATCAATTATTCTGAAATAACCAAGTTAGAAAGCTCAACAGACAGAAACAGGCTGCGGAAGAACTGATCCAAAGAAATATGTCCCATATTTTGTAAATAATAATAATAGATATACACAGATAATATAAAAATAGAATTTTATTCAAAATATTAACAAAACTATAATAGTAGCACTAAAATAACTAAATACTAAAATGCTAAAATAACATGATGTATCTCCCTTTAGTAAATCAAAAGTTTGAATCGACCTTAGAGGTTCCTGTTTACTGTAAGTGATCCACCTGGTTTTGTCCTGGTGCAGAAAAGGATTGTTTGTGCTCAGTAAGAGCACTCTTTGTTCAGTAATGTCATGTTTGCTTTGTAGGAGCAGACCAAATATCATGTTAATTGCATATTGTAAGGTATTATTTGAATACAGTTTGTCAAGTCCATTTTATTTGATTGTCATCTTCTCAGACGTGTGTTTGGGATGCAGACTCCAGAGAGATGCGGGCAGAGTGTTTCATTCAGTTGGGTGAAATGGGCAAAGCCATCAGTGACCTCAAGGCTGCTTCAAAACTGAAAAGTGACAACACTCAGGCTTTCTACAAACTCAGCACCATCTATTACAACTTGGGAGACCATGAGATGTCCCTCAAGTAAGACAACATGTAGTTATTAATGCAGTAAGTCTGGGATTTTGGAGTTTATGTATGCTACAAAAGCATTCTAAGCCTACTGGTGTATTGCACAATATAGGCCTTAACTCTATACTGCCTATATGTTTTAATAATAGTATGTAAAATGAAATGCAATATGCAAAGATAAATGTACTGCTTCATCAAGTAAGGTCCACACTATGCTGCATGTCCAAAGTGAGTGACATCCAGTTGTTTTTAAACTTTTAGCAGGTGGATCCATGTTGTTGTTGTTTATTTTGTGCAGTGAGGTGAGGGAGTGTCTGAAACTGGACCCGGACAATAAGCAGTGCTTCAGCCACTACAAACAAGTTAAGAAGCTCAACAAACAGATACAAGCTGCTGAGGAACTGATCCAGCAGGAGAAGTGTGCCTTAATATTGCTCTATTTTGTAAATGATGATGATGATAATAATAATAATAATAACAGTGTATAACATGATAAACAAAACATTTATAAGAATATAACATCAATAATAATTATAATAATAATATTGTGATATAAAATATTACTTATACACTACCATTCAGTTTGGGGTCTGTAATAAAAATAAAATAAAAAATTGTCTTTTATGCTCACCATGGCTGCATTTATTTGATTAAAATACAGTAGAAACAGTAATATTATGAAATATCATTACAATTTAAAATGACTAATTTCTATTTTAATATATTTAAAAATGTAATTCATTTCTGTGATGGCAAAGATTAATTTTCAGCAGCCATTTCAGTTTTCAGTGTCACATGATCCTTCGGAAATCATTCTAACATGTTGATTTGGTACTCAAAAAACATTTCCTATTATTATCAATGTTGAAAACAGTTGTGCTACTTAATATTTTTGATAAATTTTTTTTCAGGGTTCTTTAATGAATAGAAAAGGCAGTTTAAAAGAACAGCATTTATTTGAAATATAATATTCTGTACTGCCACTTTTGATAAATTGAATGCCTCCTTGCTGAATAAAAGTATTTATTTCATTAAAAATGTGAAACACATGAAGAGAATGTACACTCATTCACAGTGTAAATGATTGTTTTACTAAATCCACAGGTACAGCGATGCAGTTAGCAAATATGAGTCTGTTATAAAGACTGAACCAAATGTTCCTCAATTCATACTTAACGCCAAAGAACGCATATGCCACTGTTTGTCAAAGGTGAGACTACTTGACCACAAGGTGTCACCATCTACCAAAGCATACACTGCACCTGTGTTTAACTGATGTGAGTAAATGTTTTGATCTTATTCCTCAGGACCAACAACCTGCCAAAGCCGTCTCAGTGTGCAGTGAAGTTCTGAAAGCAGACCCTCAGAATGTGAATATTTTAAAAGACAGAGCAGAGGCCTACCTCCAGGATGACCAATATAAAGAAGGTAGAGATGGATACATGGACACATTTTTTTTTAAAGGTTGAACAATTGTAACAGTTTTTGTTATAAATAACTGAATAATGATATATATATATATATATATATACTGTATATATTATCATTCTTTATCAGTATTTTCTGGGGTGATAATTTTAAAAAATGTCTTTAAAATACCCCCTTAAAAATAAGGTGCTGCCTAAGACACAGTTATGTAATTTCCTATGGAAGACTTTTGAAAGAAAAAAAAAACAATTCTAAGTTTTGTTTTTCATGTTCAGCAGTACTTTTGTACTCTGCTGTTTTAAAGATTGAGCAAATTGGTTACTTTCAATACTTTTTCCTCAAGATTGCTCTTAAAATGATGAGGTGGAGTGACAGAATTGTGTTCTTTTTGCAGCCATTAAGGACTTTGAGAGTGCTAAAGAACATAGTGAGAATGACCGACAGATCAAGGAGGGCCTGGAACGAGCACAGCGGCTCCTCACAGTCCCAGAAGAGAGATTACTACAAGATCCTGGGTGTAACGAGGTTAGAAAATACATACAATAACTCTCTCATCACTATATCATCTGTTAATCAATGCAGAGGCCCAATACTCATTTTAAAGCAAGTAAACACTCTTATTAAACTGCTGTGGTTGCAGAACCGCCCAAAAGAAAGAGATCCTGAAAGCATACAGAAAGCTGGCGCAGCAGTGGCATCCAGACAATTTCCAGGACGCAGAAGTAAAGAAAAAGGCAGAGAAGAAGTTCATAGACATCGCTCAAGCCAAAGAAGTTCTCACCAACCCGGGTATATTTTAGTGCCACATCTGGTTTAAGCCAGCAACATTTCACCCTGTTTGTTTGGTTAAGGTTCTGTGATAACTTCGTCACGTTCTTCTGTTTGACTGCAGAGATGAGGAGTAAGTTTGACCAGGGCGAGGACCCCATGGATCCAGAGAGTCAGCAGGGTGGGGGACATCACCACCACTTCCACGGTGGCTGGGACAACTTCCAGGGATTCAATCCTTTTGGTTCTGGACCTTTTAATTTCAAATTCAGTTTCAATTAAGGCTCGGCTGAGTAGATCTAGGGCCTGGATATGTGCTGGAGTCAGCCAACAGGAACTGACACTTTCTGAACCCGCCCACAGGCACGGTTCTGACATGACAAGCGCCTTGAAACGCACATCTCACGCTGTCAAGTGTCAAGCTAACCATCTTTCTTTGAAGCAGCTCCTATACCTTCAGGGATCTTACAATGCGGAGCGCAAGGCTAATAGCCAAGCAACATCTGTTAGCTTTGACCGTTTTACTCCCGAGAATAATATGTACATAGAAAAGAATACTATTTTTCTATGAATCAAACAATGTAAATAACGAAATAAAGAGATATGAATGCTTATTTAAATTAACAGGACTTTTTTGGTCTGTTTTTACTGAAAATCCATGACTGAAGAGCATAGAGTCATTTAGATTAATCAAATTAACTATGTGCAATCAAACTCTTTTACACTGTAAAAAACAAGTTAACATTAAAATGAATGAATTTAAAACTCCCAGTATATCATAAATGACTTGTATCCCCTTTCAGAATAAAAATATCACTTTATTCCTGAGAAAATCCACATCTTTGAACATCAAGGCATAGGAAAAAGTTATTGATGTAATAAAAATAAAACGGAATGTAAAAGATCTGTCTCTTTGATAGCAATAAACATGGGAATTTGACCCCCCAGCCCCCCCCCCATATAATAGTTTACAATTGTATAGTTTATTCTGGAAATATACTGTACATCTTAGAGAGCTCTACTTGGTAGTGTTCAGTCTTTCAACATATCAAGGCAATTTAAAAGTGAATTTATTAGTGAGACCTTTGAAATCACAGATACCTTTCATTTGCAAACACTGACTTAAAATATGATGACAGAATATTTACTGAAACTGTTACAAAAAAGAAACATTTCTAGTCTTCTCTGGAGGAATGTACACAATATTGACATGTTTGTCCTTTATAAATATACACCAGTACCATTGCAAGTTCATAAACTGGCCAAAAATATCAGATAACACTGCAATTGTTTTAACTCTTTTTGCCAACCATTATTTATAAAAAAGCTGTGTCATTTATACAGTTTACAACTTGAAGTCAGAGAGGATTCAAACTAAACCTTCATTCAAAATCATGTACATAAAAAAAATGTCATGAAGTCCTTTAAAACGTTTCCTAGTGTGCATTTCCTCAGTGTTCCTGTCGTGGAAAACATCTCTGTATGGTTGAGTTCAAGATTCACAGGAAGACTGGTGCAATATGAGCACTCAAGTACTAAAGTTCATCACGTCGAGTGCCTGCTAAAATACAGATGACGTTCATGAGCTGTGATTTATTCACAAGGCTTATTAGAAAAAAATATTGTCATTTTAGTGCTAACTAAGTCTTACCTGTGTGCTGTGGTGGTGATGATGATGGTCTACCCTCGGTAATTTTCTCCTTCTGCTCCTTCACCTGTTTGAAAAACTGCTTTATCTCATTGTCGTACTTGGACCATTCTGGAACAATCCTCACCGCTGCACTTAACTTGGGCTCTTTGGTCTTCGGGTTATTGCACTGCAGTAAATCAACACAAAGAAAACAGTCAATTGTGGTGGCAAAACATTTCCTTCAACCTTTTCCATCAGTGCTTTGAGTGGCCTTATTTAATTTCTTGAGCACTTCAAGTGAACCCTGACAATGCCGTTCATCTATAATAGAGCTTGATATCAACACTTTCATGACTTCTGAGTCTCAAAACACATTTTTACTGGCACAGAAAGTTCAGAAAAGTTACGTCACATCTGAGAATAGGCGGCTAAACAAAAAGCATACCACAAATGAGATCAAACTGGTTACTAGTTTAGACCCACCAGTTGAGAGCCAGCACTTTCACTGTTTAAACAAAAAATATTAACTGTTTTCAACATTGATAATAAGAAATGTTTCTTAAGCATCAAAATACAGATATTAGAATGATTTCTGATTGAAATAGAAAAAAGGGGTTTTAAATTGTAATATTTCACACTATTACTGTTTTTACTGTATTCTGATCAAATATAGATAAATCTTTAGAACAGTAGTGTATATTAAGAATAAATTAACATTCACACGCCACATTATAGTGTAAGTTTAAAGAAAAATTAGGCTTAAAGTTGAAGACAGCTTTTCTGAAGAATCATCAGATTTATATAAAGAATGTGTTCATGGTGCACAGAAAAGTAGCAGCAACTGTGTCAGTCCCCAAGGACAATCTTTATTGCTTAATATACAAGTCAGGGAAGAAGGCTAATGACAAACAATGGCTAAATACACTAGATCAATTGTATGTCTGAATTGAGAGACTGAATCTATGCAATTAACATTGCATTCAAGTTTCTATAAATTCTTTTCTGGTCAGCTGATCAATATATATATATATATAACTAAAATGGATTAAACTTTTTTCAGAATGTAGCACCTAGACGTTTTTAAAAACAGCAAAATGAATGAGCAGGAGAAAACTATTCATCATTATGTAATGGTAAAGCAATGATATTATGGGGTGACTGCAACCACAAGTTGGCACTAAAATAAAAGAATAAAATAAACCAAAAAAAAAAAAAAAACAATTGCCCACACAACACTGCAGTAAGACTTTCACAACTAAATTTAGTATCCATTAATGAGGCGAGAGTGCTGGATAGAATGCAGAGGTCAGCACTCTTCTAAACCTGCGTCAGACCTGAGTCCCGCCTGTGCTGTGAGCTGCCTGCAGCCCTCACACCCATTTCCTTCACTGCCGTCTCTAATGAGACGTATCCTTCTACACCTCCCAGGAGCAGCCGGCAGGGAGGACGAGGGTGTAAATGAGACTACTATTTTTGTCGCTCTATGTATGTGCATTAGTCATAGTGTGAATGAAGAAATCTGGTTATAATCAGACTACAGGCATTTCAAGCTGATTTCACCTCACATATCGTCTACTCAAGGTGCTCGTTTGTGAAATGAAACAAAGTAAATTGATCTTTATTGGTGCAGTTATAATCATTGCCAAATAAATTATGTGGTTTTATGCTGGAGGATATAAAATATCTCAAATCTAACATGTATCAGTAACACTGTGCAATAAGGATTCATTAATGTTCATGTTTGCTAATGCATTAACTAATTTTAACAAATGAGAAGTTATTGTAAAACTCATTAACTTTTTAATCGGTCACAACTTCAATTATATTCTCAGTCAAGGTAAGGTCACACTTACTGTTGTTTGACAAAATTTCACTGGTGACACCTAGTCATTTCAATAGGAATCTGTGCGATTTGGAATTTAACATGAGGGCACAAAGTTCCTCATGCAGATTTTGCTTGTGTTTAGGTTGGTCACAAATTTACAAAATAACCAACAGAAAGCTGCTTAGGTTGAAAGTGAATTTTCTGCTCACGAAATTTCCCTGAAATGCCTTTAATGTGACCGCACCTTCACAATTAAAATATCTATGCAAACCGTCACTCTTCTGGTAATCCATTTACATACCATGCTAAAGTTTCTTGTTTTACTGCCTGTTTTACCGTTTACAGTGTGGTGTGAATGCATACTAACCAGATCTATGGTCTTGGCTGTAGCTTTGGAACTGTCATCACACCAGGTCTCACACCACAGCCACTCCTGAGGTAAGGACTTGATGGCTACTTGATGGATCATGTTGTTGGGAAGGTCCTGTTAGCATCAAACCCCATAGAGAACATTCAAAACACATCGACATGAAAGTCCTCCTCTACTGGTGAGCATGTGTGTTGTCAAGCACATACCTGGTCCAGGTTGGACAGACTGTTGGGATCTTGGCTTAAGGCTTGGTACTGCCCTCTGAGCCGGTCTCCAGCTGCGATCTTTCTGAATTTTTTTAGGTCCACTACATATAATGCACTAGAGAAAGAGGGCCGCATTTATTCAATGTTACACATATCACAATATGATATAACAACAGAATCCTCTCAAAACATTTAAAAATGTTATAGCAATCTATAATCCAGTGGTTCTCAATTCCAGTCCTGGCGACCCACCGCTCTGCATATTTTGCAAGTCTCTTTTTTTTAACACACCTGATTCAGATAACCAGCTCGTTAGAAGAGAGCTCCATGCATGAACTGTGTTCAGATTTACATGCTCCCTACACAGTGTTCATTGCTCCCTACTCCCTGAGCATGGAAAATCTGTTGAAGTTTACTTCACTTTGGAACATTCATTTACAGATTTGCGCAACACCACAGCCTGCAGCGTCTTCACACACTGATGAAACTTACTAGAGAAGTGTGAGCTGCGACATAATATACCTCTGTAAATAAATACTATTTAAATTCACGTCTCGCACACTTTAATGCCCTTAAAATGGAACATATACGCTCCCTTCGAACTGGAATATCCTGTGAAGTCCACTTCGCAGGGCATTTACGGTCGAATAAAACAAATGTCTGAAGTGATAAGAAATACATACATAATGTGGTGGGTCGCGAGGACTGGAATTGAAAACCACTGCTATAATCGATCATATGGTTAAGATATCAAACTGTTAAGTGACATTCCACATTAATCAGATTTTTCGTGATCTAACCTAATGTGGTATTTCCTTTGTCCAAGATGAGAAGCCCAGTAGCCAGTCTTCCAAAAACTATAGCCTTCCATCTCTTTTCGGCTGTCACAGAATGGTGTGTACCCATAGGGGGCGCCCTCTAGATCCAGATCTCTCAGCTCCTTTATATCTGCCCTGACAATCTAAATATGAAGTATTCAGGGTTATGTTTTGCAATTAGAAGATATCACTATTTGTTAATGTGCTAACAGGATGAATTGCTGGAGAAGTGCCTGTGAATTCTCTTGGCTGCTATTAATAAAAAAAAAAAGCCAAACTGTAAGAAGTGTATTGTTAAATCAGACTCACAGGTTGGAAATGGATGCATATCAACATGCGAAAACATAAACACACTATTTTTTATTTTGACTACTAAATGTGCAGCATACAGCAGAGCACACTGTACAGAGTGCTGTATCCCACGATGCAACAAGCTCAACATGACCTTCATGTATGATGGATAAACTGGAAGTAATATCAGCCGTGATTTTGATCTTTTTCTTGACTCATTTTGTGATCAGACTGCCAAGAATTAAGATTCACCCAAAAATGAAAATTGTGTCATCATTTACTCTTGCTTGAAACCCATAAGGCTTTCGTTCATCAACACATTTGAAGATGTTTTTAATGATCTAACCTAAGGGATTTCTGTCATTCCATTGAATGTCCATTCCCCCAAAACTTTGACGCTTCAAAAAGTTCCTAAATACACTGTAAACGTAATCCATTTCTGAACGGTTCCGAAGGGACACGATCACGTATGTGAACAAATTCAATTTAGGCTTTCATTCACATATAAACATGGATCAACACACATTCATAAGGCACATCAAATATGGTAAACGGAAGCTCAATTGTACTGGCTTGATATGCAAGACCAAACCTCACTGTTATGAAGAGGAATCAAAGTCTTATGTGTTTGGAACAACATGAGGATGAATAAATAATTACAGAATTTTCATTGTTTCGAATTTTTGGTGAACTAACCATTTAACATGAAATAGGATGAAAAAAAAAAAAAATGCAAAACCGCTGCAATTACTTCTGAGATGCCACTCACTGAATTTAACATGCATTGAGATCATGTTTTTGCTAAATGCATACCCTTTCACATACTATTTTTTACAAATATGCTAGTATTCTATTCAGAACCACTGTTTTTCTCATGCGTAAGGTCACCTGATCAGCATCTACAAAGATGATCTTGTCCACAGCCAGGGGGAAAAGCACATCCAGGAAAAGGATCTTATAACCCCAGATGATACGTTGCTTTTCTGTCTGCTGGTGAAGCCAGCGGGGCCACTTATACTGGACCAGCTCATACTGGAAACCATAAGCCTTCGCCATGTGAGAGATGGTGTCCTGTACACACACAAATATAAAGGGATAAACTACAGTATACAGAATATCTATTAACACATTCATGGATCATTTTCCCCTCATTTTCATTGCTACGATTATGGAAAAGCATTAATTTAATCCTTAATGCTGGAGCATGCATTGCATAGCACGACTTCTGTTCTGCTCATGGTTTAATGTTTGAAAATGAATTTAAGGCAGACATCAATGTACAAGTATTGCAATTTTACAGTTGTACTATAAAATAAAATAAAAATTATTTTTTTATTTTTATTTTTATTTTTTATTCTACAGTGAAATATTACAATAGTAATATTTATTTAATTTATTTTTGTAATATTATTACTATTATTTTATAATCATATTAACACATAATTATAACATTTTAGGCCAAATTGTGCAGCCTTACAAACAAGCGTAAAGAAAGCAAAAAAAAAAAAAAAAAGCATTTTAATTTGCAATTGCATAAATCGTGCAGCCCCTGTATTAAGGGGTGTATAATTAAAACTGAATTCTGACATCACTCTGAGAGCAAAGCATCACAAAACAAAACTTACATATCTTAGAAAAAAGAAAACAAATAAAAAAATAAAAGTAAAAAAATATATATTTTTAAAAATCTGATGCCAAAAAATTAACTAATTCTTCCTCAGAAATGGTCATTTGTACACAGACTGATTAAAAATAAATAAACTAAAAAAAAACAGTGTATCCTGACTTTCAAAAATAACCTCACACAGTCAAATTGTAAAACGTAATTTCAGCCAGCTCTTGCTATGTTTGTGTACGATAGCAATCGATAGCAAAATGATAGCAATCTTACCTTGAATGAGGGGGAGAGGTAGTTTTTGAGGAACCAGAACTTGACAGGGGTTTTGGTGTGTTGAAGGACAGAGAGCATCATTATTCTGTAGGAGGAAAAAAGGGAAATAGAAATACAGGAGTTGAAGACGACACTGACATGGCCGTGTTCATACAAGTGGTGGTCCTACCTCAGGAAGCGCTCATATAAATGTCCAGAGGCCACTGAGAAAATGTTGAGAACGTCTTTCTTCTTGTCATCCTCGTCCACACTCGGGCCACCGGCAAAGCTGCAAGACACCCAAAAACACACACTTCTGACAAAAAAATCAGCACAGCAACAGGGACATAGCTCTTCTAATAATCTGTTATAACAGGATTATGTGGACTATTTGTTGATTATGAAAGCTGAATTTTCAGCAGCCATTACTCCAGTCTTCGTGTCACATGAAGTTGAAAACAGTTGTGCTGCTTAATATTTTTGTGGAAACTGATACACTTTTTTTTCAGGATTCTTTTAAATAGATCAAAAGAACAACATTTATTTGAAATATATATTTTTTTAACATTACGCATGTCTTTACTGTCACTGACACCAATTTAATGCATACTCGCTGAATAAAAGTTTTTTTTTAAACTGACCCCAAGCTTTTCACTAAAGTTCAATACACACACACACAAGATAAAGACACCGTTGACTGACAAACATTTAAGCTCCATTTAATGTATGAAGTTAATTAAATTAGGTAACAAAATATAAAACCAAATGGAACCTTCAAGTAAATGATGATAGGCTTTTCTTAAAAACTTCTGTTGGTTCAGCCTACTAGGTTTTGAGACAGCACTCAATAAAAGTTATTTTATTTAATGTTGACAAAGAATACCGCTTTCACAGAGTTTGCGGATCTATTTAGTGACTGACAGTATGTTATGTTCTGAGGAGGTTCAGAGATTCCTGAAGATCTCAACCTCCATCATTTCCACACAACAAAACCAAGTGCCATCTGTAGCTTTCCACAACCACCCTAGCCAAGATCTCACCTACTGCTGCCTCTGCAAAGATATTCACATTAGAGCATTCTTTAAATATTAAGCATCACATCTTTGGAACATTTCCGTCTCCTGTTTCCAAGCAACATACTTCCCCCCAAAAAAAAGAGGTGAGATGAGGTTTGTTTAATAATGTGGACGGAGGTGATGTAACACCGCTGAGACAAGGTGGAATTTCGAAACAACCTGGCAAACTATTTCTACATGTGGAGAATGTGTAAAAATCAAGCTGAGGGGAAACTCAATGAAAAAGATAGATCACAGCTTACTAACTGAAATTCTGACGCAAGAAAAAGTAAGAGAAAAAAGTGAAAAAAGTAGAGATTAAGTTCTCTACCTTTTCTCCAAAGAGCTCCACACACTTCTCAAAGACAGCAAAGAGCAAAGGAGACAGATCATAAAACGTAATAAACAGAGCTGTTAAATAAGATGCTAACCCACTGCATTTTAATATGCAAAATTAAAATATACACTACTGTTCAAAAGTCTGGGGTCAGTACATTTTTTTAAAAATAAATTAATACTTTTATACATAAAGGATGCATTAAATTGATCAAAAGTGACATTTATACGGTTAGAAAAGATTTCTATTTAAAAAAAGAAAGAAAAAATGCTGTTCTTTTGAACCTTCTATTCATCAAAGAATCCTGAAAATGTATCACCGTTTTCACAAAGATCATGTGACAATGAAGCCTGGAGTAAGGGTTGCTGAAAATTTAGCTTTGCTATGACAGGAATAAATTACATTTTACATATATGTGACCCTGGACCACAAAACCAGTCATAAGGGTCAATTTTTCGAAATTGAGATTTATACATCATCTGAAAGCTGAATAAATAAGCTTTCCACTGATGTATGGTTTGTTAGATATGACAATATTTGGCCGAGATACAACTATTTGAAAATCTTAATAATAATAATTTTGACCCATACAATGTATTTCTGGCTATTTCTACAAATATACCCCAGCGACTTAAGACTGGTTTTGTGGTCCAGGGTCACATATATTAAAACAGAAAACAGTTATTTTACATTGTAATAATATTTCACAATATTACGGTTTTTACTTTGTTTTGAACAAATAAATGCAGCTTAGATGATTATAAGAGGTTTCTTTCAAAAACGTGTAAAAATTTTACAACCCCCTAGCTTTTGAACTGTAGTGTGTGTGTTTACATAAAGACATACAGTCATAGACGGGCTTAACACTGGTAATAGAGATTTTGACAGAACTTGATGAATGAGTCCATTATCAAACTATCCAAAAATGTATTTAAAAAAAGATCAAACACAAAAGGTATTTGTAGAACTTTGTAAATGATGGACTTTCACATTCTGTAGAAATCTGTAGCCACAGATTCTATGCAGACCCAGCCATATGCAAAGATCTTGCATTCTGTTATTCTGTGCCTGTGATATTTTTGTGATTATTTAGAAATGTAGTGTTGTTCCCCTCTAGCTTTTTAAGAAGTGATCTAAGGTGTGATTAGTGCTTCAAAAATCAGACTCACCTGGTTATGGAATCCCACAGGCCTTTGGATTCTGTTCCTTCACTTAGAAGATCCTCATTGAGTTTGTCAGGCTTTTTCTGGACCTAATATTTGAACAGATGATTTTTCATTGGTCCTATCAGCTGCTGTTTTATATGGATGCAAAGTCTGTAAATGCTTGTTAATAGATTGTGAATGCTACAGTAACATTACAAACTTACTCTAACTTTGATGATCTTGCTGTGGAAGCTGTTGAGCACCAAAATGACATCACCAGCATCAAGAGGAGAGTCCGTACCATCATGCCTAAAACATACAGTACACAACACAAATAAACTATATCTGCACTTCCTGAAGGAAATACCAGCGCTCACAATTCAGCAAACAAAATGTTACAGACCTGTAACTCTAAATACTAGGGCTGGGTTTTGACACAAATTTCACAATTCGATTCGATTCTCATTCACAAGCTTGCGATTCGATTCGATTTGATTCAATATCGATTATTTTGGATATATATCTGCTACACATGCAAAATTTTCTCAAGGAAAAAAAAATCTCTTAACTAATGCTGTAAAATATACATGAGAATCAGTTGGTACTACATTACTATAATATTGAAGGTTAAAACTGACTGATTTTTTAGGCTATACAACTGCTTAAATGGTGGCGATCATAAAAAAATATAAATTAAACTTTGAAGAACAGTAAAAGTTATAATGAATATATTATATGGTGCATATATTCAGCAAAATGCCCCTCTCTACAGTTTATTTTTCTATCTGACTAATGAGTTTAGACTAGTGATTGAGCATGAGACAGGATAGTAAAGTTGTACTCTTTCTTTTAACACGTTTAGTCGTGATTATTTTGAAACTGGTATTGATGTGGAGGAGATGATCAGTTCACGTGCGCCTTGCGCTGCCGCTATTATTGAACTGAGGCGGCGGCGCGTCGCACAGCGATCACTCCACAAAACAGCGCCAAAACGGCATTTATTGTTTAAATACTGCAATACAATGGACAGAATTTGAAATATGAGACTTTGTTTCATATTAAAAGTACCAAAGCACAATGCTTATTGCGATTTATTGGATGGGAGGTCAGGTGCCCTTCAATGTTCCGTCCTGAACTGAAAACAGGCTAGACTAATCGATTCTTGGGATTTAAAGGAACACTCCACTATTTTTGAAAATAGGCTCATTTTCCACCTCCCCTAGAGTTAAACAGTTGAGTTTTACCGTTTTCGAATCCATTCAGCCGATCTCCGGGTCTGGTGGTAGCACTTTTAGCTGTAGCTTAGCATAGATCATTGAATCTGATTAGACCGTTAGCATCTCGCTCAAAAATGACCAAAGAGTTTTTATATTGTTCCTATTTAAAACTTTACTCTTCTGTGGTTACATCATGTACTAAGACCGACGGAAAATGAAAAGTTGCGATTTTCTAGGCCGATATGGCTAGGAACTATACTCTTATTCCAGCATAATAATCAAGGAACTTAAATCTTGATTAACTCAAAGGAAAAAATAGGCTAACTTCAGTCAACATAACCAACGTGACCACCTGCTTGCACAGGGAGCGTGCTGGGGACTATTTTCAGGCACTGCTTAATATCATTGCGCCTGCTGCACCCATGGTACAGCAGCAAAGTTCCTTGATTATTACGCCGGAATGAGAGTATAGTGGAAATTCTAGGGGAGGTGGAAAATGAGCCTATTTTCAAAAATAGTGGAGTGTTCCTTTAAGAATCGATATCATTTCGTAAAACTGAGAATCGATTATAATCTAAATATCGATATTTTTTACCCAGTCCTACTAAATACACAAGGTTTACATTATCTACAAAAGTTTGAATGGCGTCTATAGGTTTTGGAGTTTATTTAGAGATTAATTAATTTGCATTAAAGTTAAGAAGATAAACAATAATAACAAAAACAATGCAGAACAAGAAGAGGAAGAACAACAACAAAAACAAAAGAAAAACAACAAAACAAAGACAAAAACAAGATAAACAAGAAAATTAACAATAAAATAAACAGAAAAAGAACAATAAGGACAAGATAAACAGACGAAAAACAAGAACAAGATGAAGAGATAAAAAAGAACATCAACCGGGACAAGATATGATTACAAGATAAACGGAAGAACAACAAAAACAACACAGAGGAGAAGAAAACGAAGAACAAGGACAAAAGAACGAAGATGAAGAAGAAAAACAACAAAAAGAAGACAGGAAAGACAAATATGAAGGACAAGAACAAGAGGGACAAAAAAAAAACAAGAAAAAAAAGTCATGAAGAAGAAGATGAAGAACAACTAGCAAAGGACAACACTTGAGGAATATCAATAGTGCTGCCTTGTAATCACTGTAATTATTCCTCAACAATGACTCAATTCAATACTGGATTTATTCTGAGCATTCCTTTTGTCAAGTTGCTCATGTCTCAGAAAGAAGTTGTGATGACATGAAAAGCATGATAAATGCCCAGCGGTACAGCACACAGAGTGCCATTAGCTTCAGCATTCTAAATGAAACCCTGGATCCATTAGGCTGCACTTCCTCAGAACAGGATATCAGTGAATTACACACTGACAGAACACTGCCTTTCCATTCATTTAGCAGTCAGCAGTGTGTGTATCTGAGAGATACTTTCTTTCTCTCTCACACACTCTCTCTCTGTGTTGGTTTTGTGTTGTGGCAGACCTCAGACTGTATGAATGCACTGTGAAGAATGACACTGTGCTCTAACTTTAACTTCCATGAATGGGGTATAAATTTTACTGTCTTCCATAATTCTCGAAGAAACCACAAGTGTGTTTCCTTAAAGAACTGCTAAAACGTGCACAATCAGAAAAAGGAATGAAAATTGATGACAAGCATTTTGGAGAGTTTTGATGTGGACCATTAGTTTTGAGTGTGGCTGTTTCTTTTTGTCCTTTATTTTGGATGGTATCTGTATTCCTGGTACAGCATATCGCTAGCAGACCCAAGATGACAGCTTTGACTCCCAGGGAATGCATGCACTGATAAAATCCTTAGCTTGAAAGGATTTTAAATCATTGTGGCAACAATATATGCCAACTATACACTAATGTTCAAAAGTTTGGGGTCAGCAAGATTATTTTTTTTTTTTTTAGAAAGAAATTATTTTATCCAGCAAGGATGCATTAAAGTGACAGTAAAAGACATCTATAATGTTACAAAAGATTTCTATTTCAAATAAATTCTGTTCTTTTGAAATTTATATTCATCAAAGAATCCTGAAAAAAAGAAAGATCATCCAGACTGCAAATCGATGCAAACATCTGGGCAAAAGCAAATTTATTCCAGCTTTTAGAATGATCTCTGAAAATCAAAAATGATCAAAATGATCATATGTGTAGCGTCTGGACCAATCAGACACACCATTTTTCATTTGATTTAACAAATCAATTACTCATTAGATACTGAAGTCTGGAGGAATGGCTGCTGAAATTTAAAATATATATTAAAATTTTTTTTTAATACTGTTAAACATTTATTACTGTATTTTTGTTCAAATAAATGCAGTATCTGTATGCATAAAAGACATGTTCCTAAATAAAAAAATTAAATAAATAAAAAAATCGTACCGACTATCAAACTTCTGAACAGTAGTATAGAAATGTAAACCTGTGATGAGAAACCACTCACGCTTGTATCTGATAGATGTCCTCTGAGCGGCCCTCACGCAGCCTCAGCATCCAGGCGCCGGGGTTGGCCTTCAACTGGAAATAGCCCTGCACAATGCAGTAGGTTAGCTTTTGCTTTTGTGTTCCACAGAAGAAAGTCAGTCATACAGGTTTGGAACAACATGAAGGTGAGTAAATGATGAGAGAATTCTCATCTTGGGTCCATGTAACTCTTATCAAACTAGGAAAATTCCTATTACAATAAATACAACATGTATTTGGAAAACGCCAAGAAGAGGGAAAAAAAACTCACTAGGTTAGCCATGACAATGGTGTCATGCATGAGAGGTTCCTGTCTCATGCCCAGTGTAAACTGAAGTCCTCTGGGAGGCTGACCTGTGGACAGGTCAAAACAGTGGCCCTCCAACAGCAGATACTCAAGCTCATACTCCGCATTGACAACACCGCTGACCTGATAATAAAGTAGAAGACGACACATTTATCCATTCAAATCCAATCCTTGAGATTCTGGCTGACCAGGACAAATCGACTAGATACAAGTAAAATTGGTCACACTTAAGTTTAAGGACCAATTCTGACTATTGCTTATTAGCATGCATATTACTAGCATATTGGCTATTTATTAGTACTTATAAAGCACATATTAATGCCTTATTCCGCATGACCATATTTTAGATCCTTTAATCCTATTCCCTACCTAAATTTAACAACTACCTTAACTAACTATTAATAAGCAGCAAATTAGGAGTTTATTGAGGCAAAAGTTGTAGTTAATAGATAATTGTGAGAATTGGTCCCTAAACTAAAGAGTGACTGTAAAGTTTATTAGTGAAACATGAACCAGACCATAAACTATGTATACATTTCAAAGCACTATTGCAGCAATTGTGCAGTCTAAACTACAAAAAGAGTTCATGTGTGCAACTCTTTGCTTTCGTAAATATATAAATACAGCATTTAGAGTTAGAATTCATACCTCTTGTAGGTGGATGTTATCTAGATCATACGGGCTCCTGAACGCCTCAACCATCCAGCTCTCTGGGGTGATCATATTAAGAGTGAGCAGAGGGGATTCTGGGATTTCAGTGAAGCGGGCCACAGGGCCGGGGGAAAGGGAGTTGTTGCCAAAGAACGAAACATCCGGCTCCAAAACATATCGATAAAAGCTGCCAGAAAGACAAAGGAACAGTATATGACATCAATCTTACAAACTAAACTGCCGGTCTGTTGTAATTTGGGAATAGCTAGAAATCCCATGACAAAATATTTTCAGTATACTTCTAATCTTGACTTTAACTTTTTTTTGGGAATAAACCAAGTATGCTTAGTTATTTTTTTACTGTTAAAAAAAAATGTAACTTATTTTTAAACTTTATATTTATTACTGATTTTTCAGGAAAACATTTTACATAATATTTAAGAAAGAGAGGGGAAAAATCAAATAAAACAAAACAACAGAACAAGGGCTATACATATACATGAGGCAAGTATAGGTTAACAAATTCACAGCCATTAATTATTGTTTAAATTACAGTACTCAAACAATTTCTTCAAATATTAAAGGGGTCATATGATGCGATTTCATTTTTTCCTTTCTGAGGAGACGGCCTGGTTATTACCCACTCACACACTCACAAACAACAGGATTCAGGAGAGAAGGCTCCAGGTCACGCTCCATAGGACCACATACAGATGAGCCAATTGCTTCCATTTTAAGTTCTTCATTACTTCAGAGGACATTGCACTACATTTATTTAAAAAAAAGCTCTTTAAGGATCTGCAGACCATAAAACGAATAAGAAGTTGGACATTAAGAATGATGTTAAAGTGTTGGACTTTGGGTTTACTTGAAGAGATTTCTATAGCTCAAAGACTACAGCATACAGTAGCGCTAGCAACAACATGAGTTTGATTTAGGGAATGCATAAACTGATGCCATATATACTTTGAATTAGGGCTGCACGATAAATCGCATGCGATATTTAACGCGCATCTTGTTAGAAAGCCGGTTCTGTAATCAGCGGTAAATCTCCATCACCTGCGTGCTTTCACATTGAGCAGCATTAACTACACAGAGCCGTTGTTCACAGACGAGCTGCGCAAAACCACGTTCATATTCGCGCGATTTTTTGCGCAGCTCGTCTGTGAACAACGGCTCTGTGTAGTTAATGCTGCTCAATGTGAAAGCACGCACGTGATGGAGATTTACCGCTGATTACAGAATGGCTTTACTGACAAGATGCGCGTTAAATATCGCATGCGATTTATCGTGCAGCCCTACTTTGAATGCAATGCAAGTCGTTTTGCATAAAAGCATTTGCCAAATGTATAAATACAAATGCAAAATGTAAAGAGATGAATCAGTCTGAAAATGGGCGGGGCTTAGGAACTTAATTGGCTTAGGTCAATTAATAAATAATGTTTTTTTTAAATTTTCTAGCAATTGCAGGGGCGGATTTCCATTTGTAAGTCAGGTACTAATCATTGGAATTAACAGATTTCAACAATCAATAATCAAAAAACACATTGTGATTTGAAAGCATCTTAATGGAAGTTTCAGCTTTCTGATCCATGAAGTGGCACTATTTTTCTTCATGGTTATTAGCTAGAAACACTCGCTGTGCAACTGATGTTGGTGTAGATACAGGAAGCCCCTGCAAGGTCAAACTGATTATATTAAAAGAGTAGACACATTGTCTCTCAGCTGAATCACAGCACAAACAAGGCCTGAGGAACAAGCTCTTAGACATGACCAAAGTTGTACGTACAACTAATAAAGGAGCCAACTTCTGTGCATCTCTGGTGAGAGGATCCACGATGGCAACCACATCATAAAACACCTCATCTTCCCGCTGTGCCAACTGAAGAACGCTGTTAAAAGACACATCTGGTCAGCTTGATACACTGGCAGTGAAAGTGTTGCTTTAATGAGAAAAACTGAAGTAGAGGCTTTTAAGTAACTGAAAACGCAAATGGACTACTTCAGAATCACAAGTAGCTGTGAATATGCATAAATAATGAGAGGAGCTAATCATAGCCATGGAAACCCGGTTGGGTGGCAGGGGTTTATGTTTGGATATGCAGCTGACTTACACTTTCGTTGAGGGAGCTGTCTGACCAATTTGGACAGACAACTTGTGATTTAGTTTCAGACCCATCCATGAACGGGTTAGAGTGATTCATTGAAAAAAACGACTCAAAGGAACGATACATTCACAAAGCAGACATCATCATCACTGAGACACTTATGCAATCTTGTTATTTTCTATGGCTTGTGGTCATAAAAGCAAAGAGAGGGTCTAGTGAAATGTATTGGGGTGAAAGTATTTATTATCTTTTTAAAATACAGACACTCAATTTAAATACTGCAAGGAAAATCAAACCTGTGTTTGTCCTTCAGAAATTTGACGTCTTTTCTGGCCTCTCCTTTAGGCGACGAAGTGAGGAGAGCGTCTACTTTCATGATTAAATCACTGGCCCTGTGAACAGTAATAACAGGTTTCAGTTTTCCTCTCACAAACAAATAATTTTACATCTACACTCATATTGGTTTGGGGTGACAAGCAAAAACAAGGCATACTTTTGGGCATTCAAGTTCATCTGCTTGATCTTGGATTTAATCTTTTCTGCTGAAGTGCGAAGTGTGATCTTCTCTAGCAGATGGAAATCTTCCACACTGAACTCTTCTTCTTCATCCAAAAGGCTCAGGATCTAGTGAAGACATTAACCTCACTGTTAGTCAGAGGTGAAGTTTGGGGCATGTCACAGGATGAACTTCAATCTGCATCAACCATCAGCACCACGGGTCTAAAGTGTCAATGCATGTGTGCTTACCACTGTACAGAGGCTCAAACTTTTGCACCCAGAACCCTTCAAACCCCCTATATCCACAAGATAGAGACAGTCATTTATATGCATGTCCCTGGCTTTTCCATTTTTAATGGTAATCAAAGCGAGGCTGACTGCCAGACTGTCCCTCTGGCTTTTAATATCAACGTTTTGTTTTTTTTTACCCTGAATGTACTCTCTATTTTTTTTAATACAGAATATGAACCAGTTTTGCATTTCTTGCTAATTTTGTTTTGCATCTTTTTGTTTACATTCGGCTACCAGACCATGTCATCTGCAGAGCAACACTGTTACTTTACCCTTTTACAGTTTAGAGCCAATTGGACTGCAGCTAAAAGAAATGAATTACAAATACCTCTTATGCCTCAAAAGGGAATATAAATAAATATATTTAAATATAACAATCTTATATTTTTGCAATAATATATTATTTTAGATAAATGTACTGTATATAATAAATATTAAAATATGGGCAAAATAATAGACATTTCCTATACAGTCACAATGATTTTGTAACTGATATAAAAACATATTTAAATAATATATATACAATAATAAATGTTATATAAATATATAAAAAATGTTTAAATATATTTTAGCCCTGTTTTATAATATATATGAATTATCTTATAAAACCAAAGAAATTACCAAATTAAGCAACCATAGCTTTTTTAGGATGAAAATATATTCTGGGGGTCACTTTGGTGTGTTGGAGAATGATGGGACATGTCACTGCTGTTTCAAGCTGTAGCCCATTTTGTGCCTGTCTGTCAACAAAGACTCTGCTGAAAAAGCACAGCGTTATGACAGTTTGGCGGTTCCATATGACCTGTGACCCCTGCAACAGAGGATGCTGAGTGGACGCTGGTGAATTAACGCCAGACTTCATCTCTCCTCTCCTCTCCTCTCCTCTCCTCACAGGTAAGGACAGGCCAAGCAAACCGCATAATACTGAGTCAACAAAATGAGCGTACCATCTGAGGGACCAACTGGTGAGACCTTAGAGTTCAGACTATTTATCACCCAGATCAGCGGTCCGTACGGTAGGTCATTAGATTATAAATGATTTCATAACTCCCATGGAAATGTTCTTTAGTTGTCTAAAGGAGGAGGGGTTATTTGTGAATCTCACCCTGCCGTTGCTGACTACAGCTCTCTGTCCGGCTTTCAGCTTCAGAACTTCCTTACAGTACTTCTGCTGGCTGTGCAGAAAGTCCAACTCCATCGTGTTGAACTTCTTCTCAAAGGCATCATGGTCCATACCCTACAGGAGACCAAAAACATATTTAACACTTAAATACCTGAAAAAGGTGACAAAAACATTAGTAATGGGAAGAAAAAATTCAGCAGCTATTACTCCAGTCTTTGATGTCATATGATCTTTCAGAAATCATTGTAATATGCTGATTTGGTGCACAAGAAACATTTCTTATTATTATCAATTTTGAAACGGATGTATGTATATATGTATATACATACTATATGTATGTGTATGTGTGTATGTATATATATATGTATATATATATGTGAACCTGAGGTCACACAAGATTTCACCCCCTATTATCTATAGTGTGAATTAAGAAATTTATTCAGAAAAATTATTATTCCGAAAATAATTATTCTTCTTTACTGCCACTGAAAGAAGAAGAATTATTTTCTGAATAATAATTTTTCTGAATAAATGTCTTAATTCACACTATAGATATAGGGGGTGAAATCTTGTGTGACCTCAGGTTTGGACTCATTTGAACTAAGTCTAGTAAAAATGTGGAAAGAACAAATCGATCGGCTCATTAGTGTGTTTTTCGATTACACTGCAATGAGGAAATAGTTATTGACAACTAACCTAAAAAGGGGGCGTATTTGTGCAAGTGCAGTCATTAGAGCATATTGCGAGAAATATTAAATTAGCTAGACCTATGAAAAATGTGTCGCCATTGGTGACTGTGTAGCGCTAATCAATCATTAAACATTTTAATTTATCAGACTTGTAATGAAAAAATGGCTTCAGTGCCGAAAACAAATCTCGGGTGTATGAGCTGCACGGAGTCAGATTATTAGTGTTTCCAGCATTTGGTCCTTATGAAAAGGAACGAAATGCTTATGTCAGCACAACACCTCTTCCCTGCCATTCAATAATCGGGCCATTACAGGTCCCAGACATAAGCTCTCAGGGAACCAAGAATCTCTCTCTCCAACCATTTTCAACTAATAAAACTCAGGAATGCTGGGTTGGATGGAACACTTTCTCTTATCTTATATGTTATGATGGAAATAAATAGAAGGAGCAGGATATAGATAGAAGAAAGAGCCTAGATTCCAATTGCGGTTGTACGAGGTACAGGGCAGCCATTCCCAGAAATGTGTTTGTCTGTAAGTCTGAGTAAATTACATGTGGTTGAGTGGTTTTCACTGGATGTGGCGATGGGGTGAAGGCACACCATGGAAAAGAAGAGAGGCCCTGCTTGTGTCATTTTGTGGTGATGACAGGAGGAAACTATGAAAGTTGTATTTGATGTTGTGCTTTGGAAGACACACGCCTTCTAAATGTTAGTGGGCAGACTGCAAGTGGGAGAACACAAGCTACTATATTTTAAGAAAACACATTAAATGCAACCAATACGCCATAAAAAGCGGTGCATTACAATGATTTTAACATAATTAAAGGGTGGTGAAACTACGTAAAGACCAGTTTATATTACAGCTAATGATGCACCATATATCTGTATCATATTGGTTACTGCATATATATGGACAAAGTTACATTTTAAAAACACTAAGAATTTGATAACACTGTTCAAAGTAATCTTTCCAAAATGAATATACATCTTTTATTCTGTACATTATAAGGCGGTGATGTCTGCATTCACCTGTAGTACTTGTAACAATGTAGAACTGTAATATTGAATAGAATTGTAAAATGTTTATTAGCTTTTCCATATTGTCCAGAAGTTTAATATCAGCGCATCCCTAATCATAGTTGTATAAAATGTCCTTGCTCCAAAATCTTGTTGGATCTTGAGGTCATTAATCTGTATCAATTTAATATTATAATAATCTTGCAACCATAAACAGCCAACAAGGAATTAACAATCTGTATTTCTGTAATATACTTTCTGGTCTGTCAAATCAGTCACAGACTGACAGGAGAGGAAGAAGACACATTTCCAGCAACTTAACTTAAAAAAAAAAAAAAAAAAAAGACAGACAGGCTAGAAAAGATTAATCCAAGTCAAAATGCTCTACACATAATTCCACATTACCCAGACACAGTATTTCACACTTCACTGACCTGTTGAAGTAAGTGCTTAATCTTGGTGCCTTGTTTGAGGAGCTCAACATTTTCTTCTTTGAGGAGTTTTAGGGTGAAGTCGAGCGTGTTCTTGCTGCTTTGGGTGAGGAGAGAAGCCCAGACGGCTCGGTACAGACCGCTGTTGTCCTCCGTGGGCTTTCCACTGGGGTTATTGATCGCCCCGACACGACAGCTGGAGCTGCTGGATTTCTGCAAACAAACACTGTGGATCAGAGACTCTCTCAAAAAGGAGACCACAGCAAACCAGTAACATTAACTATGTGATTATGAATGTCTTAAATTATTTGGGTCAGTTTACTTAAAATAAAACCCTGATCATCATATAGAGATTTTGGGAGGAAGAATTGTGCCTCTGCTCTCTGAAGATGCCATTCCTGTGGATACAACTAATTGGAAATAAAAACTGCAGTAGTTTACCATATGTTTCAAGGCATTCCGGAGCAACTGCCTTCCAGAGGGCTGTTCAATATCTGCTACAATCCACACGGTCCCTCCATACAACACCTCCTCTTCTACAGGAGAAGTAAAAAAAAACATTACTTGAGAATAATGCTCTTTACAAAAACACAGTTTGGATAGGTTTTGAGCTAAGACGTCTACATGTAATGTGTGTTAAATTATTGAAAGTAACACTATTAAACCAACAATGTAATGTTAGTTATGATGCTATACTAGCAGTACTGGCAGTGCATTGTCAAACACGTCATTGATGGCAGCTACTAAAAAACATAAAATATAAACCCCCCCACAAAATATATATGAAAAAGACATGACTCACCATCTCTGATGAAATACTTCATTCTCTTAGAGACAACTGCCGTTTTGTCTCTGGAGTCCAAGTATGAGAACACAGTTGTGTCATCCCAGTCATCAGCAACTATTTATTCAATTATAACAGAAATTATTAAGGCAGTTAATACGGAACATTGCAAAGAACACTGATGATAGTGAAATTATTGTGATGGAGATTGCGGAGATCGTGTGATTGTTACAGTGACAATGATATGGTGAGATGACAGATTAATATTGGCACTGGTTCGGGTCAGGTGGGGTCATTAAAGGGCTACCTGGTGAGGAAGTGAAATCCAGATATCGCCTCTCAGAGCTCAGAATGAGAGGGTTGATACGGGGGACTACATTGGCCTGCTCCATTAGGAAGTCCACCACATCAACACTTTCAGTGATCTGACCCTGGATATGACAGGAAACACCTTAAAACTTGCTAATCAACCAGATTAAAGGATTACACTCAACACATCACGTTAGGATGGCCATTGTACCAGATGAATGTGTGATAAAAACCAATGAACTTGAAGAAAAACAGTAAGAGATATGAAGCCAAATATAAGGTACCACACCATAAAGACAGCTCTCTGGAAGAAGTTGGTAGTTTCCATGATTTTCTGCAGAAGAGCCGTCTCCAGTTCTTCTGGGTCCATCTCCTCACTACTGAGTGGAACACCATTGAACAGACCTACTGGTAAAGCACCTAAACCACTCTTTCTGTAAAACCCTCCTCCGGCCTGAAAAAACACATCATATTAAACATTCATTGGCACTGACATCTGTTTCCAAATTAAATCTTATGTCCATGTTTGCCTAGGAATGTTCAACAAGCAGTGGTTTTTATTTACCAATGCTATGAAAAACATCTGTAATTTGCCATTTTTTTTATTGTATTTCAATTATAAAAATAATTTGTATATAATTCTCTGCACATTAAACTTGGAAATGTTAAGAGGAAAAGTAAATATAGCAGTTTTAACTGCCTTTTTTTTTTCTTTGTTATGAAGCACATAACACTGTTTAATAGCATTACCTTTCTGTTGTCATCATAGCTCGAGTCCACTCCAAGAATTCTGGCAGCATTTGCTTTTGGAAATTTCTTTTTCAGATATGCAGTTACTGTGTCCACAGAGAGAGACTCCCCAACTTCTACCCTGTTAAATATCTGCATGTCACAAAAAAAAAGGAAAATCTCACTAGAATTAAATGACCAAATTAGTACATTAGTCTCTGGATATCCCTCCTTCCTTGACCATAAAATGTATGTATTGAACAAACAAAAAAAAGTGTACATTATAACTGAAAATATCTGTTGTAGCACACAATATGAACCAAGCTTTCAAATATCACACTTAATGTGAAGGAGAACCCTAAAGAAACATTAAAGTCATTTTGATTTAAAAGAGAGTCACAGCAAACACAAAGACACTCACTGACACCATGGACGTAAAAGCCTGTGCTTCGTCATACTCCTCTGAGATGTAGTTTAACAGTCTAAAGAGAGCAACACCTGCATCCAAATATCCATCCACTTTATCATCTGCACTGACAACCAGCACAAACCCAATCCTAAGAGACACGGAAACATAAATGCATAACAAATCTGGCATAAAATCTTACCAACAATAAAATTATCAACAAATAAATCTGAACAGAACCGAAGGGCTCATGATAACACAATGAGGTTAGTTTGTTGAATGTTAAGGAAGGCATAACATCAGCCGCCTATTCCACAGTTACTTACCAAACAGATAAAAACGGACATGAAATATTCATTTGAGTTGAAATGATACATAAGAAGTAAGAAAACATTAAGTGTTATAAAACTTGAAAAGCTATGTAAGGAATTTACTGTGACAATGGTCCGTTATACAGTTTACAAGTGAAAAAATGTTAAGGCTCAAGTAAAATGTATTAAATGCTATTGTGGAGTGCACATACCTGAGAGGAATGTTATGTTTGTAAAAGAGTTCTGCTAATTTCACCAGCTCAATGCTCTCCTCTTGTACTGGGTCAAGAAACAGACCCTGCAAACAACAAAGAAAACCATTTTTCATTCTTTCACAAATTAGAATAAGAATGAACAAATTCACACAAAATAGGTGCAGCAGTGCTAAAAAAGGAGGACATCAGGGGATAAACATCCCTGCATAAACCTGCGCACAAAGCTAGATTTCAGCTTAGACTATAATCAACTCTCACAGGCAAGTTGACTCACCAGGTTATAGAAGTTACGGCGTATTTGTCGAATAACTCCAGGAAATGTTGCTCTGAGGAGCTCCTGGAGACTTGAGGGCCAATGACGATACATGGAGTCCTTCTCAATATCATTAACCCACTAGAAACCAGACAGCAACAGAGATGTGTTAAATTGTGAAAGCCTTTATGTGAACAGTGAACACCCATTTTTTTCTGCAGCTTGGGTTCCAGAAGTATTTTTTACATTTAATTTCAACATTAGCCAAAATGAGATACAATGAAATAAAATCAAATAAATCATGACATTTGATTCAAAGTTGTCGTTTTAATGTATAAAACGAATCTTTTAGGTGAACGAATCGTTCTTTTTGAACGAATCTTTTAGGTGAACGAATCGTTCTCGTTCACGTAATCCATTGACTCATATTTCTCGTTCACTGAAATTCCTCCCTCCATAGCAGCGCATGCGCAGCTCGGTGAACCGGGTAGCTCTGTGAACTGTTTCATCCTGTCAAAGAATGACTAAACCTCGAGCCAATAGCCTTCGAGTTTGAGTTGTGACGTGACAGAGCATGTGATTTGTTGAATGTAGTGAATGAATACGCCCTTCACTGAACGAGTTTCATTTGAGCCTGAACGAGATCGAGAGATCTTCTCGTTCGTGAACGAAATGAACGAACTGGTACATGTCGTTCGTGAACGAGTTGAATGAACTGGTACATATCTGTGAATATGAATATGGTACATATGAACTGTACCGGGTCAATCGGCCATTTAGCATGTCAATCTCGATCAGCAATCAGCAGAAAGTGGATGTAAAGCGCAGTTATAGGCACTGTGCACATACGCTTGTTTATATATTCATATTTAGCATACAGAACATAACTCCACGTTTAATCCCCGATTTATGAACGTGTGTCTGACCAAACAATTAAAATGTTAAAGGGGTCATATGATGTTGCTAAAAATAACATTATTTTGTGTATTTGGTGTAATGAAATGTGTTTATGCGGTTTAATGTTCAAAAAACACATTATTTTCCACATACTGTACATTATTGTTTCTCCTCTATACCCCGCCTTTCTGAAACGCGTTGATTTTTACAAAGCTCATCAGGAGGGTGTGGACGAGTCTTAACTTTTATAAAGAATATCTCTTTGGGTTTGAGACTTTAGTCTTTGCAACTTTAGGGATCTTATCTATTCACAAACAGCTTGTAACACTCCAAAGAGAAAGGAAAACTTGAAATTGCATCATATGACCCCTTTAATTATGCAAGAAAACTTTGTGCTTTGGTCATCTGAACAACTTATTTAGACTTTATTTATTTAATGAGTAGATTATGCACACATTTTAATAAAGCCAAATCATTTTTTGTAACAAGTAAATACGCTCGTTGACTTAAGACATAACACATAAGACACTCTTTTTCGCCACCTGCTGTCGTATTTATGTAATATGAAGAAATGGTCACTGAACGAATCAGTGAACGAATCATTTTGGTGAACGAACTGAAAATGAACAAATCTCTTGAAATAATCTAAATTTTCACCACCATAGTATACATTAATCATTAAAATAAATTTCTCTATGTAGACTTGGAATAGCATTTTACATCCAGAACTTAAATTTTGAGCTCTATAACCACACTTAAATAATTAGCATCTTACCATAATGGATGTGTGGCGGATGTCCAGAGCGTAGCTGTCCTCTAAAGTGGCTGATGATGGTAAATGCAGGAACTTACTAATGCTGCTTCCTTTGATGCCAAGGTTATGAAGACCTTCGAGAATCTTAGCCTCGGTTCTGAGAATGTCCAGGATGCTACAGAGTAGTTGAGAATGAACAAATGTACAGTATGTGATTAACACATATAAAACATGTTGAGAAACGTTAGTGTTGCCAATTACACACTTCATTTTTAAACATTAGACAGAAACCAGTTGGTAGGAGGATCTTGTGCTGGGATGATACCTGAAAGGGTTATGAAGGTCCAGGTCAATGTGTATTCCATTAATGAACAGACTGGCATCTCCAGGATGGATCCCCATCGACTCACTCAACCTCTGAAAAGTAAAGACCCCGTCAGCTACACCATCACTTTATGAACTTCACATCATTCAGTATGAACATGATTTGCTGAAACATGATTTGTTTTGTATTGGATTCATCATCTGAGACTCTCAAGACACTCCACAGTACCCGTCAAACTGAGTAAAGACACAATTAATTTTCTAAAAATAAATCAGAAAAATCCAGGCCCACATGGCTGTACTTGAAACTTTTTTTTCAAGTACAGCCATGTCATCAGAAAAGTTGTTGATAAAACCTTACCTTTTGATTGTCTTCTATTTCTTTCTTCATGTCTTGGTTTACGGCCACTCTTGTCAGTGATCTGTGGGGACAGTAAAACATGTACAGTCAGTACTAGCTCTCGCCAACATCCCAGAACAGTCATAAAAACTAATTTTAATATCAGAAAACCTGTTCCCTATTAGACGCCATGTCGGCTATGCTGACAAACTGTAAACCACAGTAACTCTGACTCAGCAAATCCTGAACACTGCACATAAAGCTGTCTTGAGCAGCAGTGGAGGAAAGTCAGTCACACATTAAAAATGACCTAGACATAATGCATATGCATGCATTCTGTGCTGTTATACATGCAAAAATGCATAGTGGAATATTCTACAAAAATAACTGGTACAGATATTCCTGTTCACAAGTTTCTTTGACATGTTTAAATTATTTTCTTTTAATTATTGGGCTTAATAAGGATATCTTTCCTTTCTTCTTTTTGAGTTCTGATTGAGAGTTGTAACAAAGGTGATGATTTCTGTCTAGGATTCTCTCAGAGAAACCAAGACTGAATTTCAGACTTTGTACCTGGCTCTGCTGGGGAAATTTTGGCTAAGCTCTTGCATCAGTTTGAGAGAATCAAACTTTGGCACAGTCATGATCCGAGATGCCGCCTGGAAACTGAGGTCTATTGGGAAGACAGAGAAGGCATTTCAAAATCTTTTTTAAAAGAGCTAATAATCTGTGAATAATGCCTGCAATGAAAGATTTAGTTAAAACTATTCATAATACAAATATAAATCAAAAATTTTTCAGGCTTCATGATGCAAAGGCGTCATAAAAATATCATAAAAATATTCCATATGACTATTTTAAACCATACAACAGTTTTTGTGACGAACATATCAAATTTGATAAAAGTCATATATACAGAAAATGTGGACATCTATCCTAGCTCTCCTTAATGCATTCATGTTAAAAGCAGCGATTCTTGATTTGTGAATGAAACTGGATGACTGAGCTTCATTATTATAATAATTACAATAATTAGGATACATTGTTATGGTATGAAAAACAGTGACTCCAAATTTGTTTTTCATGTTCCAAGAAAGAAAGAACATCATACAGGTTTGGAACAGGAAAGGTTAAAAAAATTCCACATCAAAGTTATTACCTCACACAATTCCACAAAGTTATTACAAAATGACTGTTTCAATAACCATCATGAGAGCCCTTCACGTCAAGTAAAATAAATTGCTTCATTTATCTATCAGCACAAAACTAAAACGGCTCTTATTTATCCAGGTCTCACAGTGCAAAATTTAACTTGGCTGTGAACATGAGCATCTGTTCAGAAGTCTGAACAGGAATAGAACAGATCGCTGCAGCAAGCAAAGGGTACAAAGTACTGCAACCTTTCCACTGCTTCCCAATTCATCAAGTGGACAGTTCTCTCCAGGAACCATGAGGATCGGTTTAATCTCACTGGGTGATGCAGCACAGAGTCCAAAACACCATAAGAGAGGACCATCAATAACTGCAGCCTGCCCACCTTGGAGCTCCCACACTTTGAGAGGAGTCATGTCATTGGTGCTCTCCACCAGTAGATGCTTCCTCAGCTCTCCAAGTTCCTCCTGAAGCTCTGGGTGAGACTTTCTGTAGGTGAAAAAGGACACAGTGAGACACTGTTTCACATACAGTAATGTATAAAATACATTATTCATTTTGATCTACTGTATGGATAGATATAAATGGTTTAAGAAAGAAAAAAAAATCAGAGTGCTTACTTTAATTTCCCAAAAAGAAATCCTTGGACTTCATCATTTTCATCCACATTATCAGTGGTGACTGATTTAGATTCTGTAAACAAATTAAGGCCAGTTTTAATTCATTTTTCATTATAGCTACTTCTGTTTAAAGTCAATTTATTTTCCCAATAAGTAGTTTCTCTACTACTAATTCTGTAGTTTAACTACTTTGAAACTACACTACCATTCAAAAGTCTGGGGTTTGTACAATTTTTTATTGTATTTCAAAGATGTCTTTAGACTTACTAAGGCTCTATTTATTTGATCAAATCAGAAACCATTCTAATATGCTGATTTGGTGCTCAATAACAATTTCTTTAAATTATCAATGTTAACAGTTGTGCTGCTTAAAATTGTGAAAACTGTGATGAATCGTGTGATTTTTTTCAGGATTATTTGATGGATAGAAAGTTCAAAAGAACAGCATTTACTGTATATGAAATACAAATATTTTGTAACAATGCAAAAGTCTTTACAGTCACTTTTGATTAATTTAATGTGTCCTTGCTGAATAAAAGTATATTAATTTCTTCCAAAAAATCTTACTGACCTCAAACATTTGAAGGGTAGTGTAGTTTGTCAAGCTACTCATAATTTAAAGCATATTTCCTAACACTGACTATTACAATAAAACTGTTTTTGAGTACCGTCATTTATTTCTTAAACACTTCTGTTACACAAAATGCAATTTGACATTATTCAATGATACCTTTAACTTGTGTGTCATCAACAGCTTTGTACTCAGTGCTTTTAATTGCCAGTTCAACACCATATCCAGAGAGCAGCATCTTTTCATTTTTCGGCTCCTGTGGTAAGAAATCAGTGTGTGGGGCAACAAATATTTATTAATATATGGAACATACTTTAATAAATTCATAAACTATATAAAACATTAAATCGTGGTGAAATTACACTGCTAATACTCACAGACACAAAGTGTCGTAGCACATAGATGAGTTTGCCTTCCTGTGCTCTCTCTGACAGAACCTTATGAAAAGTGTTGAAGTCCTTGGTGCCGATTTCAGCATAAAGAACAGCTACAGGCAGGTCTGTTCCATTGACTCCGGGGTACTGGTGGTCAGACTTGTATAGGTATGGTCTTGGCCTGCATAGGACACATAAAATAAAATGTTATGAGAAACCAATTGATTTTGACACAAAACCATGTATGGACAAAAATGACCTCTAAATATCTTTGAATACAATATACTGTTGGTTAGTGTTACCTGCCTGCTGCAGTCTTCAAGAGCTTCTTCATATCCTTGGTGCTGCAGGCATTTTGACCGTGAACAACCACGAAGGCAACACAGCCATCAGGAGGAGGTTCATCTCTTGCTATCTATAGAACGAGATGAAACGGTTAACAATACTGTCTATGAGGTAAACCACATAGTAACAGCCATTTCAAATAGACCAACATTTTAAAAAGCTTCAGATTTAAAAATAAAATATATTTTACATATGTTATTGATGGTATACTCTAGGAAAACCAGAAGTGTCAAGCATTTGTTTTTGTATGAATCATTATTATGATCTACAGAAAAGTTCTCACTTGTTGGAATGCATGCACAGCCGGTGAGTAAGCCCTGAGAGACAAAGACAGCTTCAGCAGGTTGACCTGAAGATCTGTCAAAAACTGTCCAGCCTTCTTGATGATCAGGTTATAATACGACCGGACAGATTCTAAAGTCAGGGAAGTAAACATCTGTATCTGTATATTTTCCAATTTACATGTAGTTTAACAAAACACAATCTTACATTCCAACCACTCACTGAATTAGGAATCAAAGCAGAGAAAATGAAATGTCAGCCTTTACCTCCATATTTGTAAACAGTTAACTCCTTCACAGTATAGACAAACTTCCAGAACTTCTCTTCATCATCCTCTCTGATGAACTCACTGTGGAAAAATAGATTTACAAAACAATAGATATACATAAGACAAACATGAAACAGTAATGCGTACAAACAGTAAAAAAAAATTTTTTTTACCAAAATAAGAGGGATCATACAATATGCATGTTATTTTTATTTAGTACTGACCTGAATAAGATATTTCACATAAAAGATGTTTACATATAGTCCACAAGAGAAAATAATAGTTGAATTTATAACAATGACCCCGTTCAAATGTTTACATATGCTTGATTCTTAATACTGTGTTGTTACCTGGATGATCCATGAATGCAAAAGCCTCTAAGTGCCATCTAAAATTTTCTTCTAAAATGAGCATTTTTATCAGGCTCCTATGGGTGGGTTCAATAATTTCCGTTTATTGGCAATGAATAGGTAATTTATGTTGCCATTAAAGTGAAATAACTGAACATAAACACAGGAGCCTGATAAAAATGCTAATTTTAGAAGAAAATTTCAGACAACACTTAGAGACATTTGCATTTGAAGTCTTCATATGTAAACGTCTTTTATGTGAGGTCAGTACTAAATAAAAAATAACATGCATTTTGTATGATCATTAATATTTTGCAGATACTGCAAAGTGTATGTAAAATTTTGACCACAACTGTGTGTGTACATACTCTCTCTCTATAGATAGATAGATAGATCACAGTAAAATAAAATTCTAGGTGTTCAACAAATTCAAGGCTATTGAGGCAGCAAATACAAATCTGCTGCCATAAGACATATGAAAGGCAATACTTCATCTTTTTAAAATTAAACTAATTCTTGGATAATTAATGTCTACATTTTCTATAATTTCACATTTATTTAGAGTCCACATGAGATATTTGCACTGTATCACACTGTAGGACTGCACGAAAATGTGATTAAATTGTGAACAACTTGGTAACTAAGAAACTAGATAAAGCAGCTAAAAATTCAATGTCCATTATATACATTTTAACCTAAAATCTTGATCTTGAAAAACGATTAATATATATAGTCGGTTATTTAAATATGAAGGGTAGCCAGTGAAATACTGAACTACAGGAGAATAATAACGACTCCAGCCCACCTTGTTTCCAGCAGGAGAGGGGTCATGGACCATTTGGCCTGAAGACTGGCGACGACTCCTTTAGATGCTGAGTGCACATGCTGGACCCTCAGCAAGACCAGCACAAGAAAGATCACCCTCATGATCAGACACTACTAAAAGAACATAAAGATAACTCTATTATAACTTTAAAAATGATTAAGAAATATTTAGGATTAAGAAATATTGTTGATCATTTGCATACATTTGTAAAATGGCTAGAAATGGCAAAAAAAAATCTTTCATTGATGTTTTCATACAACAGAGAACATGTTGTCATAAAACCTCCTATTAATTGCTTTTTTGCTTCAGAACTGTAATAATGTGTAAACTATGTAATGTGTAATTGTAATAATATGTAAACACATTCTACATGCAGATAGGATGCTGAAGCTTGCCTTGTTTCTTGGGTTATTATTTTATATTTCACACAAAAATATTATTTTCAAATCACTTTCAATAAACAGCAGGTTGTAACAACTTATGCCATGTTGAGACAATACACCTCCATTATAGGTTCAATGTTTGTTAAATGAAATATATCTTATTCCAGAACAATAACGTGACAATATAGACAATAAAATGTCTTCCATAGAAAAGATGACTTCCATATTCACCTGAGCAAAAATGGGAAATGTTAAAAAAAAATCTCATTAAAGTTATTGCGAAGAATCGGTAAAAGAAGGTAAGGCAAGATTAATCTGTCCAGTAAAACGCCACGTAGCTACAATGTAACGTTATGTGTCGATTAGCTAATACATAATTGTTATATTTTTTCGTTCTTTTACAGACATGAGCATCAGTGTCAGTTTCTTACACTTTATACAAATCAAATGAAACAGACTATGGTAGTGATTGGTCATTCTAATGAATTAAGAAAAAAATTGATGGGAAAAGGGATAAAAGACGTGTAGCACAAACTTTTCAACCCCTATTAGCATTTCTTTCAGGAGCAACAACAACATATTATTCAACAGAAATAAACCGCGAACTGACTCTGTGATATAGACTATGCATATGTTTTAAAAACACACCTAAATCATCGGACGCTGAGCCGCTGTATTGGTTTCACAGGACGCCGCCATTGAGGGGTCCTGCATCTTTATTCCCATTCCACACACGGGAAAGCGATACATTGTTTCCGCTTTAGTAAAAAGCTTCAACATTTTAGTGAGTTGTAGGCCGAATATTTGAAATAAAGTTTATCTTATTAATGGCACAGAAATATCTTACAACATTAACATATTTTAGAAGTTGTACGCAAGAGTACGTTGTTCAGGCATTTTCATGGACAACTAATGTAATTGATGCAGTAGGAAAGCAACGGCAGCTAAACATGAAACAGGCAATTGTGATAAATGTGGACTACCAGAAACGGTTGAGCATGTTCTTTTAATATGTATAGCGTATGAAAGGGAAAGACATCAGATGTTCCAAGAATTGGAACTGATGGGAATTAATAGTATATCTCTAAAGACACTATTAGGTTATGGGGTAATGCAATCAAGAATATATGGAGAATTGTTTAAGTATTTAAAAAAGACAAGATTAATGGAAAGAGTTTGAAGTTAGAGTTATATTAATATTATTATTATTATTATTATTTTCTTTTATCTATAATAGTCGAATAATTCATAGCTCAACCGTGTACGTTTCACACTCCAGATCAGTAGGTGGCGGACATGCACCTTTAACGTTGGTTTGCCAATCCGCCAAAAAAACTCGAGAGAAGAAGAAGAAGAAATATGACCCATCCCATGATATATTTTTATTTTCTTTTTTAAACGTTCTGTCTTCTTGCCGAGCCGGTTCATTTGAGTGAATAATAAAAAAATAAAAGCATACAGTACAACCAGGGGCGCAACAGCACATTTGCCGAGGGGTATGCGAGATCAGTGTCGGCGCCCCCTGTATTCTAGGAGCCTCTAACACTAACTTGCGCAGAAGTTGACTCTGCAAGTCAATGACCAAAAGCCCATTAACTAGCTTGTGCATGGAAGGATACAAACTCATCAGGAGTGAAAAAAGTGACAAAGG